GCCCACATGCGGCTTCTTTTGGCCCCCTTCAGTGTGGCTCTTCCCACAAAAAGACCCCGTGCGGGCGCGCACGTACAGTGCGATTGAAACTTTCGTGGCCCATGCGCAGAAGTCGGTATTTTGTGGAAGAGCCACACTCAAGGGGCCAAAGAGCCGCATGTGGCTCGCGAGCCGCGGTTTGCCGAGCCGCAGTTTGCCGACCACTGAAGTGGCTAAGTTGCATGGTCCCCATCTGACAGATGAAGGAACTGAGGCTCCGTGTAGGTGCAGACTTGCCCAGGGTCCTGCATCTAGAAAGGCTGAGCTGGGATTTGAACCCCAGGCTGTCTGAGTCCAGAACTTGTGGCTTTTCTACCACAAAGAGCACTTGTGAGCATAAGCCGAGCCTCAGGAGGAACCCCAAGCCAGCCAGCGGAAGGGCAGAGGAAGGGATACAGAGCAGGTCTCTGGAGTGACAGCCCCACCACTGCTTCCGGGGTGGGGAGGGAGGGGGGCCCTAGGACCCCCGCTCTCTGGGCCAGTGGGGACGGGCCAGGCTGTAGGCAGCTGTTACCGGAATAAGAGCTCGATGGCTTTCCTCCAGGGACTCCAGGCTCTGGTGGACGGCCTGGCTCATCTTGGAGAAGGCCTCCAGGTGCTGCTGGATGTCCTGGCTGACGGTGAAGAGCTTCCCATAATGCTCCACCAGGGCCTCCACCAGGGCCTCCTCCTGGGCCTCCTCCATCTCCTGCCCTTCATTGTAACCTATGGAGACAGTGCTGTGGGGGGTGGGTGGGCAGGAGAGCTGGCCCTCACCCGCCCCTTCAGTGGGTGATGCTAATAAGGTAGATGGGGCTTCTGCTGCCGCCCCAGAACTCCAGCTGGGCTCCATCCCCAGTAGGGAGCCTGCAGGAGGCAGCCAATCCATGACTCTCATCATTGATGTTTCTCTCTCTCTCTCTCCCTCTCCCTTCTTCTCTGAAAAAAATAAAAATAAAAACAAAAACGTGTTTGTCTTCCCTTGCCTTTCCTAACAAGTTTTCAGCACTGTAACAGTGGATTTTGGTATAAATCAGGATAAAACAAAACAAGATACAAAAACCCATTCAGCTGTCTGTGTAATTTTAGTTGATAATAGCAAAACACAAACACAAACCAAAGACAAACAAAAGACTAGGAACAGTAGCTCACAGTGACTGGGTGCTAGCTAAATGCCGGGCCCAGGGTACATGCTTAGGAAAGAGGCGTTCATCTAGTCCACACAACTGCTGCTATTCCCATCGTACAGATTCAGAAACCAAGACCTGAGAACCTACCACAGGCCACATGGTCAGTGCTGGCAGGCCTGGGCCCTCAGGCAGGCTGGCTCCGCACCGGGCCCTCCTCAAACACCGGGGCATCGGCCTCCATGGATCACCCTCCCGAGATGAGCTAGACTCGCAGCGGTTCTCAACCTGTGGGTCGCGGCCCCTTTGGCGGTCGAACGACCCTTTCACAGGGGTCGCCTGAGACCATCCTGCATATCAGATATTTACATGATGATTCATAACAGTAGCAACATTACAGTTATGAAGTAGCAATGAAAATAATTTTATGGTTGGGTCACAACATGAGGAGCTGTATTTAAAGGGCCAGAAGGTTGAGAACCACTGAGCTAGAGGCTCAGTGAGGCCACACACTGTGCTCCACTCCTGAGCCTAGGAAGTGGCCACACACAGGAAGCTACATACGTACCCTTGGGGATTTTCTCAAGGACCTTAATGAGATAGTCTTCAAAAAGCTTGTACTTCTCCACCTTTCTCTTCAGCTTCCTCTGCCTGTGGGGACATTGCAGGGACGGTGTGAGCCAGACAGGAGGCTGTGGTTGGGAGGCTCCCAGATCCTGACCCCTTGCAGGGCCACCCTCTGTGGTCCCCTGCTCAGAGCGGTGCCGGCCGTCCACTCCCCCCGCCCCCCATCAGTGGGCCACTGACTTCAGTCTGTCCACTCCATTTTACTGCTGAGCCAACCGAGCTGCAAAGAGGTCAGAGAGGCGCCTGAGGTGGGTGAGGTAGGGCCCCGGGGAGCGAAGCCAGAATATTCCGGCTTGGGGGTCGACAGTGCCTCTCCTGGAGGCTGAGCAGGTGCTGGGTGGCTTAAGCTCCTATCAGCCGGAGACCTGGCAGGTGTTATACCTGTCTGTGCCCATCTGGGATGGGGGCGTGAGAGACCCTCCCCCACAGGCTGGCCGGGACTGTGCCTGGGGATCCTAGCACCTCAGAAGCACCCAGTCTGAGGTCAGGAACCCAGCACCCCCGGAGGGAAGAGGGCCACACGCTGCCGCCCAGCTGTGTCTGACTCTCAGGGGATCCCAAAGCAAGATGAGTCTCCACTCTGGGCCTAGTCAAGGTCAACAGTCAAGGGCAGAGGGCAGAGTAGGGCCTGCCCGGCCAGCGGGCTGAGCCGACAGTGGGGGGGAGAGTATCTCTGAGTGACAGTAGAGTGATCCATGGCAGGCCTCTCTGCCTCTCAGGCCCCATGTTCTCCTCCACACGGTCCTGAAAAGTGCAGGAGAGACTTACCTTTTCCTGCAACTAGCACGCGGGGCCCTATGAGCCACGGTGCTAAACCTCCTGGGGCCGGGAAGCCCTTCTAGAACCTGATGAAGGGGTTGGACCTTTCATCCCTAAAAATTGCTCAGAAACACCCATTTGCTTCTAATCCAGGCCTGAAATCCAAGGGCCCCCTGGGAGGCGAGGACCCAGGGTCTCCACTCAGAGCCAGACGGCAACCTCGCAGGCTGATTTTAGAGGGGCTGGGCCAACAGGTGCACAGGATGGCACCCACAGCCCTGACTCTGTGGTGGGGACCCTGCCTCCGTGATGGGGATCCTGCCTCCGTGATGGGGGACCCTGCCTCCGTGATGGGGGGTCCTGCCTCCGTGATGGGGATCCTGCCTCCGTGATGGGGGACCCTGCCTCCGTGATGGGGGGTCCTGCCTCCGTGATGGGGATCCTGCCTCTGGATGGGAATCCTGCCTCCGTGATGGGGGCCCTGCCTCTGTGATGGGGATCCTGCCTCTGTGATGGGGATCCTGCCTCCGTGATGGGGGGTCCTGCCTCTGTGATGGGGGTCCTGCATATGGAGGGCTGAGACTTGCCCAGGGTCTCAGGTCAAAGGACGGTAGCCAGCCCCTCCACCCCCCTCGCCTCAGCTGCCCCCCCCCCTTTACTTCCAGGCCTCACTCTACTCCTCCATTTCCTGGCCTGGCATTTTAGCTCAGTCCCAGCCACTCAGCCCACAGCAGGCGGCTCTGGGGATGAGGTTGGGGCCTGGTGGGGCCTGGAAAACTCGTACTTGGCCTGGAGCTGGCAGAGTTCCTGTAACAACACCTGCAGGTATCTGTCCGTGTCGCCGTTGCCAGTACTGCTCGGGCCGGACGCCTGGCCCGTGTCCATGGCCCCTGGCATTGCCCCTCACCACGCCAGGCCGCTCTGGAGGACGAGGGTCATGGGGGCCAGGCAGGAAGGTGACGGCCACACGCAGGGCAGCAGCCTTGGTCTTCTGGTGGTCCCGACAGTCCTCGGTGGCCAGGGTACACTCCCACTTCACAGAAAGGGGAAACAGGCTCAGAGGGGTCGGTGCCCAGCTCAAGGACACACAGTAGGACTGGA